AGCGCCATTTGGGCTCCCCCGCGGTGGGAGGGGAAGGCCCCCTGGCCGTGTACATCACCACCCCCGCCCCCTCCCTTGCGGCAGCCCAGCTGAGCAGGCAGTACTCAGCCAAGCGCCACACTCAGCCGAGCACCACAGCGGAAGGGGAAAGGGGGCAGGGAGAGATGAAGCGGAGAGAGGCAGGAGGAGAAGAAGAAGAGAAAGGGAGAGTGAGAGGCAGGAGTTGGGAGAAGAGAAAGAAAGAGATGGAGAGAGAGGTAGAAGGCGAGAGAGGCACGCCTTCAGAAACGCACCATTTAGTGTGAATGTTAAAACTGATCGTACTGCTTGCTAAACAGCCACTGAATTTGCGTTGTGACTGTCTCATGGAGTCAGGAAGAAATCCAGGCATTTTTATACCTGGAATCCACTTTGATAGCTAAACATATTGTCTTTGCCTTGTGAGTCTGTTTATCTTCCGCTGCTTCTCTCTCCTGACAGTGCTCCGGACCACCTCCCTAGCTGAATGAAAGTCCCCCTGATTTTCTTGTTTATAAAAAGTTAGTCATCCACTCATGGAAAACCAACAAAACCATGTGGCTTAGGTAACCAGTCACACAAGGCAAAAACAACTTATATCACTAATACTGAATATTTAAGGTGAAATTCCCTGCAAGTAGCTCATGAAAAACCCATCAGCTGAAGGTTGCTAGCGCAAAAGAGTCATCAAACAGTTATAAATAAGGAAGTAATATCGAAAAACATGAGCAATCTGTTCAGAGACAATTCATGAACAGGAAAAGGGCAAAATTTGCCAAATGCAGAGCAGTGTAAGAGGACCTTATAGAACAGGTATTACTGAAACATGGTGGGATATTGAAAATAAAGGAAATACTGTAATATCTAGCCACTGTGCAGACTGGAGCACAGTGGTGTATCATTCCATAGCGTCGATGAGATGACATTTCTGAAGAACAAGAATGGTAGATGAAATTAAAGGGAACCCATTAAAAACTGAGCAAAGGAAATCCTTCACAATACAATAGTTATCTTGTGGCAATGAGTTTCACATGTTATCTATGAGGCTAATATCTTAGGGTATGTCTACACTACAGCGTAAATTCAAGTTAACTTAATTTGAAATAGTTAATTCGAATTAAGCTAATTTGAAATAACGCATCTATACACAAAAACTAGCGTTTTGCTATTTCTAAATAGCGCGTCAACACTGAGTGGACCCTGAACCGAAGTTAAGGCTGGCCGGAACCAGTGCCAGAAGGGCATCAGGTTAGGACTTAGTGTGTGGAGCTGCTGCCTGAGGCTAACTGAGATCCATGCTTAAAGGGACCCTACCCCCACCCCGGACAGACAGTTCTCAGGGTTCCCCGCTTGCTTGTCTACCTCGATGAGGGACAGCAAAGCAGTCCTGTCTTGGAGTGCCCTGAGTGCCCACACTCGGGACACCATAGCACTCAGCCACATGGAGCCAAAGCTGCCCCTGGGCATGCCGGTGCATCTCGTGGGGTCGTTGCCATCAGCCCGGCTGCACTTGCTGCAGGCTGCCATCCTGGGGGGTCCATCCAGGGCTGTCAGGATCCAGGAGGCCCTGTGGGAGAGCATCCACCCCGAGGAGCCCTCAGAGCCACCCTGGTCCTCCCCAGCGGGGGCTCAAGCCCCATTCCTCCCTCACATCCTTCCACTTACCCCTCACTAACCCCCCTTAGAAACTGGGTTCATTGAACATCTGGGGATACTGGGAAAAGGAGGTGGCAGAGGGGAAGAGAGAGGGTGGGAGAGGGGAGAGGGAAACCTGGGAGAAGGGAGCTGGAAGGGGGAAGCCAGGGGAAGAAGGCGGAGGGGAAGCTCAGGGCCTAGGGTCGGGGGTCTCGCTGAACCAACTTGATTTTCATGAAAATCTGATCCTGGGTTCGCATGTGGCCTTTGGTGGCCAGGCTGGCAGCTATCCTGCCATAGATGGCCGTGTTCCCCCATCTAGTGCGGAGATCATGGATGTTGGGGGCATCCCCCCAAACCTGAGTAAGAT